GAGAGAAAAACTCCTTGAATTGGAGAAATAGCAAAATCAACCATTAAAGTAATTGCTCCTAAATTAAAGTTACGCGCTATTTATAAAAATAGATAGGTAGATAGATAAAAGCTTTATTCGCCACCATGACATCAGATACATGATATAGGCATTAACTTATATATAACAATAATGATATTCTTATCTACTAATATTACACTTGGAAGTCATGGCAGTGAAAAAGGCGCAAAATGAATCTTCATGCGTGAACAGCCACCCTTCGAGGTGGATGCTTTTCTTCAAAATGAAATGGGACCACTATGGAAATACCCCCTTTCAAAAACAAAAAAAGAATCATTAAAATCGGTTCACAAATACCGGAGTTATCGCGTAACATACATACAAAAAAAATACATACAGTCGAATTGAGAACCTCCTCCTTTTTTGAAGTCGGTTAATAACCTTTACAGTCCAAAACATAAGAATAGAATAGAATAGAATAGAAAGTTCTTTATTGTTTTTCATTTTTGTTACAGTTTTTGTCCGTAAAAGGGTGTGTACGTAATGCAATGTGTCTTAAAGATCTATACATTTATTTTATGTCGTGTAGCTAGTTTATAGCTCACAGAAAAGTGCTATACATACGTAAAATTTATAACTTTCTTTTTATTGCAGAATGTGTTCCCTTGGGGGTACACGCCGTCTACTGACACGTTTATCCCTATCTTTTTTTGTGACATACTCTATTTCACCAATTCGTTGACTGTAAACCATCGGGTTGTACTGGCCATATTTAGTGTATTGTGGACCAGGAGTGTCCAGTCCCACTATGTGCATGTCCTTTAGTTTTTCTAGCATGTCTCGGTGCAGATCGTGTATCCTGAGATGCCATGGATCTTCATCTAGCATATCCCACTCGTCTTACCATTATTCCGTCGATTAGTGGCGAGCAAGGACGCCGGGGGGCGCGGCGGCAGTGCGGGAGGGGTGTCAGTCTTGGCTGGCGGTGGGGGGCCCGGCTCGTCTGCGCATGCGTATTGCACGGATGCCGGTTTGCATGTGCATGCCACTTGATACTACAAAAATAAACATGTAACGTTATAATTATGCCTAAGAAATGAAACAAGACTTGCAATATTATTAAGCTCTCATAAACGAACATTCTCCACTAATCGCCGTGTCTAACCTCAAACGATAAACTAGCTGTTCTTGACAGACGTCTTCACAAAGTCTCAAATTCATATAAGGGTCAATGTATACGCTTCTATAATAAGATTCCGATTGATATACATATATATAGGTTTAAAACTATACTTAGTGAAACAAAAACTTTATACTTGGATGACAAAAACCCGTTGTAGTCTTTACCCGTTTAGCTCTTGCAGGTAGTCTCGATCTAAGATGTTTAAATAAATTTTTAATCAGTACAGAGTACTAAAAAAACCGACCTCAAAAGTAGGTACGTGGAATTATATATAATTACCAAGTTTTACTGAAACCGGTTACCGGGAAGTGCGCATACCCGGATTCATCCCCTAGTTGGCCACTATACGGCACTTGGCACAGGAAATAATAAAAAACGGTTCTCACTACTAAAAGTATATTGAGAGAAAAACGCCTTGAATTGGAGAATAGCAAAATCAACCATTAAAATAATTACTCCTTATATTTAGACTCTATTTATAAAAATGAAACTTCATGCGTAAACAGCCACCCTTCGAGGTGGATGATTTTCTTCAAAATGAAATGGGACCACTATGGAAGTACCTCCTTTCCAACAAAAAAAGAAGCATGAAAATCTGTTCCTTTTTTGAAGTCGGTTAAAAAGAATTAAAATCAAATTACTTTGTGCAAGTCGGAAGTGACCGAAGCACTCGTGTCACATTCGGGACACGCTTCGGGTGCGGGAGAGCTGCGTGCTGACGTCACATCCGCCAGCGACATCTTGCCGCCTTTACTGCAACAAAAAGTTCCAATTTAATAACAGTAATAAAATTGCAACATTTTAGGTGTAAAGAGTTCATTTCCCAATTTGGTTCTACCGGGCATCGAACCCAGGACCAGCTCATCCAGCGTCATCAACCGTTGGCGCATCGAGGTCCTCTAATCAAATCTGTATCGATAAATCTGTATCCTGTATTGAAGTGTCCCATCACTAGGTACTTAAAACCACATGCTGACGTAGTCGTTATTCTTCTACATTTGGTTACTGAACATGGTTACATTTGCCTTGAGGACTACAGACAACTTCTTGCTAAAGAGATTTCAGTTTGCCGTTGAACTCTCCGGTGACCAAAAATCTGACAATCACTTCCACCAAGGGATAAGTTTTGCTTTTAAAATGGGACACGTAGCCAGTTATCTGAGATACGGCGAACCGTCAGTTCAATTTTCATCACCTCATACATACAAAATACAAAAAATCTAATTTTTGTTATACCCATGTTTCGAGGTCAATAACCGATGCCAATTTTAAAAAATCAGTGTTGGACGCGTTAAAAATTATCGATAAAAATATCTTTAAACACTCCCCACTGAACTGTAATTCCTTTCAAAGTCTATGAATACTGCTACCATCTTTAAAAAGGCCATAAATATTGTCCCGTGTGAACCAAACCAGAAAAGACTGGTCATTTTATAAAACAATTGACGTAAGTCGTGTGCGTTCACGACAAGAACGTAATTCGACACGATTGTACTATGTGAAATCAAAGACGTGCTACACGACAGTCTCGTGAAGTTATTTCTAACCTGCTTATAAAAGAACGAGTGTTATTTATATCATTTATTCATTCCATTACATGGACTCTAAAAGTGATATAAAATACATAAAATGAATCTTATTAAGCTGATCTAGATCTATAAAAATTATATTAAATGCATAATCAAATTTGTGTTAAATTAAATAAAAAGCTACTAATAACAATATTAGTTAAAAGTATCAAAGATTAAAATATACATTCTTCTAACGACTACTATAACAGTAAACTATGTACAATAACATTATTTTTTATCACATCTCGTCTCTGGTCTAGAAAAATTTTTGCAACGTAAACAACGTTTTTGTCTCGTAAAATTTATATTAGAAGTGTTACGGATAACCTAATTTTTAAGGCGTTTTGAGAACATTATTATTATAGTATTGTATTATTAATTTTAAAGGTTACATTTAAACACGAAAAATATGCAGTTAATTATTATATTATGTACTTAAAAGTCTAGCTGAGTCGTTGACCCTTTTGACATTTCGTTTTTTTTAATAGACTGCAATAATGTCCCATGTTCAGCAAAGGCCTCTCCCTCAGACTTCCAACTTTCTCTATTGTATTCCGTATCAAATAGTTTTGACATTTTATATCAAATAAATAAAGCTGGTTTTTCTGCTTTTATATGCGAAACTTCTTTGACAATATTTAAAACCTATCTGGGGGTCAATTTAAATTTTTATTACTAATGAATGTACGCTTCACATATCTGGGTACTAAATAATCACAGGAAAAATATGAAACTTAAATAAAATATTTGGTTAAAACAGAAAAAACTAAAACATGTCATTCGCTCTCATTACCCCACAGTTCGGGGAATGGGAGCCGGTAAGAATCCCGTATGTCAAATGGGAGCCATTATATATAATCAGTCTGAAAAAAAATTTAAGTAATAAAATATATAAGTTAGAAAGTAATGAAAATAAACAAGAAAGCGTTTAAGTAAAAAGCGTTCAAATATCCAGTGAATATTGCAATGGGATAAGGAGAGCTAAATAACTCTCATTACCCGCGTAACGTAGAATTTAAAAAGGAATAAAACAGTAAAAACACTTCTATTTGTATTGTGATTTCAAGCACAACTTCTAAAATTTGATAGATATGGTAACATAGCTATTGTAAATACAATGTAGTATCTATGCATTTTAATGCTTACCTGGGATGATGAAACTTAGCAAACTTTATAAGCGCAGAGCGAAAAACACACAATCATCTCATACGACTAAACGCGGGGTTCTACGGGGGCGCCCACGGGACTCGAACCTTGTCGAACGTTAACGAAGACATAGGAGTGCCGTTTGCACAAATACGAGCATTGGGAAAGTCCAGTTTGACACCGCTCTGATTACCCGCGGGCTCCCAATACCCCACGTTCCCCTACACTTCGAATTATAATTGTGTGGAATCTAGATTCACGTTATCTTTCCATACATCTTTATCTAACAAATACTCTTAAATATATGTATATATGACTTTTCAAATAAAATACTTTTAATGCAAGTTTTAAACTCTTAATATATTCTCCGTGATCTTGTTGTAAAAACGTATACCTACAGTTCCCCATAAAAGAATCGTTTACCTTACTTAAACAAAATCGTGGTACCATGAGTTTGGACTTAGTTCTACGGTTAATATTATATCTTATTATATTCTTATTATCTTTCTTAATTAAACTATATATTTTTTTCGGGCATTCAAAATATTTGAGTAAATGTACTGTAATGCCACACAGTGATGACACCAGTCTCCTTAAACTTTTCTCTGAAACCTTAAACGTTTCTTTATTAACCTTAACTACTCGTACTGAAGTCGACAGATGGTGTGTAACAACACTTAGAAGGTAGTAAACACGGTCATAAAGTTACTTCCCACACAGGGTGAGATAGCTACATAATTTGGTAATTGTAATAAATTGTTTTTGAACTAAACGGGTTGACAAATGAAATGGTCCAAAAGATGGACAATTGTATCTGTAATTACTGTCCGTTTAAACAATATTTTTAACTGCAGTACGCTATGATAACCGTTTTGACGGTTACAAATAGTGAAGTCTCAATTCATTGTCGAAAAAAGTATAATCAAATGCGAGTCGCATCTATAAGTTTTTAGATTAATAACTAGTATTGCAAGGGGTAGCAGATTAAAAAGTTTTAATAAAACGAAAATAAAAATGTTTACTTAATAGATCGTCAATTCGAAACTGCTTTTGGCATTGAGCTTTGACGCGAATTTGTCGGAGGTAGAAGTTCTGCTGACTAACGATCCTATAAGTGACGATCGTATTAGATTTAATTTTTTTAAATTTCGAAATTTGAAAACAAACGCCGAGTTGAGTCGTTAAATAAATTTGACTGCACCTCACTATTGACAACAATGTACAACAATTAGCTCCTTCAAACGTAGTTATGAATTAATACGAAACTTGATTAGCGGACAAACGTCGAAACAGCCATCACAGCGTGCCGATAAATTTCGTTGAATGTCAGGTTGTTTCACCACCATGATAATTCAATTGATTTTTCGTGAAATTAATCCAGAGTTTGTTTTAATTATTAAACAAAGATCGAACACATAAAAAATTCACTTCGATCCGGTTGGATTCGAACCAACGTCTCACAGCAAACCGTGCCAAACGCTATGCGAACTAAGCCACGGAACGAATCAAAGGCCTCATGAATTTTTCCAAGTGTTTGTTGCAGATCTTTGTTTCCATTTATATTAACTGATATAAAGATGACAATTTACAAAAAAAATCGATTTCTGATGACAAGTGGTGCACCTGATGGTAAGCGACATGCATGTGACGCATGTCCATAGAAGTTACAATGCCACTCAGATCGCAAATATCTGAGGGGCACTGCCACTGCTCTCGTTACTCTGAGACGTAAGTTGACAAGTCCCGCATGTCTGTAATTTTACCAGTACCCTTACGCTTCAAAAACAGAACACAATGATGCTCATATCACCACTTGGCGGCAAAAATAGGTAAGGTGGTAGTAGATCCCTGGACGAGCTCGTTCACAAGAAGTTTCTACCAAAATAGAGGTATATAGTAAAGAAAAACTTGTCAGAGAGAAAACAAAAACTCAGTAAGTAACGCTAAGAAGTGACAAAAAAAAACACGATCTGATCTCATTAACGCCACCTACACCGGAGTTTTGTTGACAAACCACAGCGCACGCGCAGGGTCAACGACCGACTAGACACAGATGTTTTTGTTTCGGAAATTGTCATAAATTGTCGGTGATTTACCTTAATGGTGATGATATCTTGGTGCCTAGTAGGAGATGATGGTATAACTGGCTCTGTGGTTTTGTTTTTTGTTGATTTTTTTTAATGTAAAATACAGACACGTTTGGCCGCAATCTCCTGATATTGAACCAATGGTACAATCATGAACTCAAACTATTCTTATCGTAAAATGCATAGAGTTTAGTAACAGTAGAGCTCCTTGTGAAAGAGTTCGTCCAGGGAATTACTGCCACCTTACCTATTTCTGCCGCCAAGCAGTAATGTCAGCATTACTGTGTTCCGGTTTTGACGGGTAAGGGTGCTGGTAAAATTACAGGCACATGGGACTTGTCAACTTATGTCTTAGGGTGACGGACGCAATGGCAGGGCCCCTCAGATCTTTGCGATTTAAAGCTTTAAGTGGCACTGCAACTGTTATGGACAGGCGTGTTTACCATCAGGCGCACGACTACATCGTCCCGTCACTTGATATTATAAAAAAAAGGTAAATTTTGCCCTCCTGATCATAATTAACTACTCTCTGTAGTACTTAAAGAGAAATACCTGCATATAAAAATTATGGACCCCTAAGGGGTCCGTGTAATGAACGCTGGTAGTCCATAGCGAGCCTGCCTAACATAACAATTGCATTATATAAAAATTGGTATACAATATGTTGTGGTTAAATAAAATAGGTACCTATTTGTTCGCGTGACCTTTTTGATTTTTGGCACCCCAGAGACGAGCGAGCGAGATGCGCGTCAATGCAATCGGCGAACCTTTTTTCTTCATCTTCTTTTCCGATAAGGTCAGTGGGTTCTTGAATCCCTGACTAGGAAAAGTTTAAGAAGCCCTGGTTTAAGGTTAGGTATTTTATTCTTAAATAACTCGTTTTAGACGTTTATTTTAGCCTGTTTTCAGGATTTTATATAATCGAA